TCCAGACATTTGAGGGTTGCACTGTAGACAGAGAGAAAGTAAGATGATGATTTCGTGAATAGAAACAACACAATATGTATCCAGAGACACTGAAAATCTAGCATTATAGTCAGGACTTTTCTGATTATTACAAATCTGCCTTTGATTTTAATTTACCCTTGCTTTTTTTTTTTTTTTATTTCTATATACTGCAAGTTTAACACTAATCAGACTGGTAGCTGGTGGTAAAAACCACGCAGAACAGAGCATAAATAAACGTTATCTTCTCATATAGATTTACAACATGTCCTGGGTACTAAAGCACTACGTAGAATAAATGGTAAACTGTAAAACTCTGTGAATCACAAATGATTAACCCTGGCCTTTAATCATATTGTCGCGCATATTTCATTTTAAGTTTCTCTCTTGGATGCTGAGTTTATAAACTGTGAGATAAAGAGAGCTGATAAATGTTCAACAGTTGCTGGATTTATGTGTGGAAAGCATTTACTGAACATTTTACTTTTGTTGTAAACTGTAAATTATAACGTCGACAAAGGTGCAAAAGAGTTTATTGTACACACACACACACACACACACATTTATATATATATGTGTATACATTGTTGACGTAGCATTTCTCTACTCTAGAATAATGGTGGTAACAGTTTTGTAGCCGTGCTGCTTGTCAGTAACAGCTTATGACACTCTGTATGCTGATACACAAGGCCTCAACCTAGATCTCACCACACAGAGCCCTAGAGAGAATAAATAATGGACTGACCCCTTTTCTCAACGTTTTTTACAATCATCGCTCAAACTGTTGACATAATAACCACATTTAGTGTGGAAATTTGTTCCTTATTTGAAAGCTATACTCCATCTTGCTGCTGTTTTGGCAATGTTTACCTCATTCACCCACTTTTAACTTTTAAATGCATTCTACAAGTGGCTTCTGTTCGCAGTATTTCAATTCTCCTTTAAATAGTATTCATTTATTCAATAATATTATTCACTATGTTTGAATTGCCTTGTTTAATAGTAATATTATACATAAATACATATCTTCATTTCCCTGCAGAAAGCTTCTCTTACATTTTTATTGTGTCTCCAATACTTTTTCTTTTCATTTTTGCAGCACCTCATTACCCTTTGCCTTCCAAGGGAAAGCTCAGGAATAGAAAGTTCCCAAACCAGCAACAGGCAATGGCCTGCTTTCATTCCTTCTCTCATACTTTAAATGCTGAGAGACATGAAAGAACTTGAAATTTGTTTTCTGACATATTTAAATATGTGTCGCACAAATTACTTATTGAAAGGGAAAGAAAACAGCTAAACTTTACAGCTTTCTTACACGAGAGACAGAATGTGTGGATTCAGAGGCCGGGGTGAGATATACATGACCCAACATGTGGAGCAAAATATACATGAAGAAGCAATGCCTATAAGCTGTCTGAGTATGACTAAGAATGTTTGTGCAAAACCATAATGCTCCAGTTAAGTGCTGAGACACTGGCAAGCTGGTTTCAAAACTGAGCTGTCAAAATAAAGCAATTAGTAACTGACGAAATATTTTGAGGTCGGACTTTTCTACAATGATAATTAAAACATAGTTTCCATACATAGCACTAAAAAAAGCCCGGAATAGATATGAAATTATATTTTTGTTTGAACCACTTAATTCCACCTCTGAAGATGCCTTTACCTTTAGATCTTTACTCTTACATTTGTCATTGTTTACCAAACGCATCACAAATGATGGCGCAACAGTTTAAATTACTGAGATTCTAAGAAGGGTTTAAATGTTTTTCTCTTATGTGTTTTAATGATGAGTCGTTATCTGTCCTGGACATGTGAGATAATAATCTACAGATTAATATTAGTTAAGGAAAACCATGACAACTCTGTCTGTAAGCAATCCTATTTTAATAAGTGGAAGCCATATTTACTTGACGCATATACAAAGGTAAGCACATTTCACTGTTATTTATTTTTTACTGGGCGACTGTGGTTCAGGGGGTTGGGAAGCGCATCTTGTAACCGGAAGGTTGCCGGTTCGATCCCCAGCTCTGTCTGTCCAGGTCGTTGTTACCTTGGGCAAGACACTTCACCCTACCTACTCGTGTTGGCCAAAGGGGCCGATGGCATGATATGGCAGCCTTGCTTCT